CGCATGGACACTGAAGCGTCAGAAACAATTGTCTTTTGGTTTTGGCTATGGACGGTGACAGTTGATGCAAATCGACTGTGGACAGTGATAGTGCTGATCGTGACGTGGTGTGTGAACTTTGAAATAAAGTGTAATTTGTCGCGGAAACAATTTTTCCCTTGCCTTAGCGCATGCATAATGAAGGTTTATGTGTTAAAACGTTTTCCAACTGCCGCTGTTGCTGTCATTAGGCGCTCACGATGCCCACTTTCGCCCGTCTCACCTGGCGGCACCCTGGGGGCCATAGGGAAGCAAGCGTTGCTCCCCCTCTTTCTACGCTTGAACAGTTGCAGGTTTGATTCCTTATCTAGTTTCTCGATGTTGTCACCGTTTTTCGTTTTCTCTGTGTTGCTTGGTGCCTGGTATTCTCCACTTAATTTCGAACCTATAAGCACTGGGTGGTTCGTTCAATTTGGCTACTCATATAATTATGATGTTTCCGCCAGCCGTTGTGGGCCGTTTGCGGTGTTCGGATGGATAGACTGGTTGGATTATGTGATATTCTTTATTTATGAACGCTGTTGTCACCTACTTTTCATCCATTATATGAAGTCTCAGACACTACTCAAGCAGTTTGTTTCAAAAACCGAAGCTTTACGAATATTCGTGCTTTTCTCTTTGTTAAATTTGAAGTGAATTTGGTAAATGTATTGATTCTTGGCCACCATAGTCTATTTTTAGAAGTCTAGTCCATGTTTTCAAATTCAGTTTTCTTCACTTCTTCAAACGTTGGTGTTTACATAAACTTCCACTTTCTACCACGTAGATGGCTGCTTGCAAATGGTCCTCGGTGAGATTTTTTTTCTACCAACTTGATTATCTACCGTCAGGGAGACCAGTCCAATTTTGTCACCTTCCAGTTTACGAGAGTGATGCCTGGTTATGCCTGTTTTCGATCCTTGGTTAGGGCTGGTATTTTTCGAACACTGAATTAGGACTTTGATAAGTTTGACACAAAAGTCTACATTCGACATCAGGCAGACAGAACTAACTTACTTTTTTCGTACGATTTGCTCATAGAAAATATTTCTTTTAGTTATTTTTAAGTTACCGACTGGACAGGCAGCATGGTCCGGAGTCCGTTGATAAAATAAAAATTTGGACGCCTTATTAACTAAGCTGTCTACTTCATTGATATTCAACATTCGCGGTTTTTTGTATATACATTTAATCAAGGGATTTTTGTAGCCCGATATTGCATCACTTCAAACCTGTTGTTTTCAAGCACAGTTCAATAAACTGCACTTGAACACACACATGACACCCGTCTGATCTAGCTGTCAACCTGCAACTTGCTAAACATCTTTCATTGATCACACTGGCCTGTGGCTCTGCTATTTATTATTGAATTAGAAATGAACCTCTTGGGTAAAACGCAATTGCGTTTTTTTTTCAATCCGTGAGACCACACCTGCAAGTTGAAAAACACTATGATATGTTGGATGTTAACACTACACGTCATCAAGCGGTGCATGCGAGACAATTCCCCCCGGCCACGCTGTGTCCACCAGTATACGCTTGTCAAAGATGACATATTTTTTCCATTGCAGGACGCAATCGTTAAATCTACGTACGGAACACTTCCTGAGGATGGAGATTAGTTCAGGATCAGGCATCACCGTTGTCATTCGTCATTTTTGCACCTAACCAACTTCTCCGTCTAAATATTTTCTCTACTGCATATTTGAACTTCTTTAATGCTCCACTTTGAGGTTGTTGGTTACCCAGTGTGTATATGAAATGTAATTTAAAGAAGTAACAAGAGTTCGACTGTGGAATTCCTGTGGAAATCCAAAAGCAAACAATTCGTTTTCTTAATGAGTAAAGGCGATTTTGTGAGGCCATATTTTGCAATGTGATAGTTAATCATTTCTTCGCTTCAAAGCGCTAACGACCAGTGCAGTCCACACCCTTTGCGATACGGGGCGTTTATTCGCTTCAATGTGTTACTGGCTACAGGAGTTGGTGGTAAGGTTTGTTAGTCCGAACTCAAAGCCAGTGGCGCCGCAGTTACTCACAGTTAGTTCATTTCAATGGGCTAAGGCTACTGTAAGGTCGTAATTCTCGTAGAAACTGGACCTTAATCGCCAAGTTTTGGGAAGGAGGAAGCGCACGGGGGGCTAATTAGCTTCGCTGTTGCGTGCGCCGTTGTGGGTGTTGTAATTGTGAGTTCTGATTCGGTGCCACGAACTTGTGATACTTTGTTGAGATCAAATCGATATTGACGTTAGCGTGTCCGATCTAGTGTCGATGTGTGACTTGAAGCAACTCAAGGGACACCTACGATGACAAGTACGGTTTCTGTGCAACTGAAATTTTTGACTACTCGCGATTTATTCCGTGTATCTCAAATCACTAAAACACGACATGCATCGAAAAAAGCAGGTTTATCTTTAGTGGCTCTCGGTAGCCTACCAATATAAAACTACAGCTTTTTGGCCCAAAGCGTAGCATATTGGACATTTTGACAAGTTCTACACCTTCGTGATCTTGTGGCTTGTACGTCGTAGAAAATCTTAGCATTTAGCTACTAAAGCATCCAAAACATCGATTGTCAGTTATATTTTTGTGCGTTCTTTGATTTCACAATGGACTTGGGTCCTTTATTTGGACTAGTGGAGTCTAGGTTTGCTTGCAGAAGACAAACCATTCTGGTTGTTGTTGGAACCTTCTTTCACTTATTCAGCAACCTGTTGATCAAACAAACGCTTTCACCCGCCCCAGAAACACTCGTCGAGTTCCGCAGCAACATGTTTATTCAGTTGTAAAGCTGAATCCAAATCAATACCTAATTAATTATCCGACTATTCATTTTATTTAAAAATGACTCGCGGAACCTCGTGAAGCCCAGTTAGGTCGGACATATCAACCTCATCACCATCGATGCACCCTAGTGTTATCTGGCAAAAAAAACTGGAAAACTCGGTATTAGGGGATTTTAGCTATGAAAGCCGATAATTAAGTTCATGTGTAGCCAACGAATCACACTTGTGCATAAAGGAGCGCCAGTCACCAAATACTCTCGTTATAAGCTGCTCTAACTGAATACACAGGATTACGTTTACTAGGAAACACGTTTAGGGTACATACACTCGTTGCATGCGAGGGGGCGGTGACAAGTGTGCTTATAAATTATACAAAACTAAAGCCCCACTAGCCAAGTCACATGAATTTCGGAAGCGACTTAGAATAGCCGCTGATAGAGCATATAGGAGCACTTTATCGAATGCCTAAATTACAACATCTCAAATTCTTAAAATTAGAGCTCATTAGCATAAAAAAACAACACTAACATGAGCAATCAGTGAAATGCATTGCTTCTAATTATCCCAATTGCCTGTGACTTTGAAAGAGACCACCTACACGCAATATTTAATCGCAACCTAGAACCGAATACTCACCCAGTTTTGTTAAAATCAAGGTGGAAATATTAAACGAACACATTGCGGCCATTTCTGCTTAATGCGTGCAAGAAAATAAGCTAATTGCAATTCTTCACACAAATTCCTTTTGGGAAACACGAATGAACATTCACAATTGTCCCACATTACGTGATGTACTTACGAGAGAGATATTTCACCCTTATCTTCAAAACCCCAAAACGGGTATCGTAGTTCAAGAAAAATAAGGCATTAGGTCTACACCAGCTCTGAAAATCATTGGAATTACTATTCCAGAGTCCAAATTAGGCCCGATACGGACCTAGCAATGATAATTAGAAAATGTTCTAGAACACATGCCTGCCTTGGTCGTTTTGAACCAAGAAGCCTTGCATGCACCCTTCTGCTTCCTGTTTAGAATGGTACATACTATAACTGCGTTTCGGAAATTATGAACCCTTTAGTTGACCTCGGCTCCTATTTACCCATAGTCTAAATCTAAAGGTCGAAATTTGGTATAAAATTTCAGGTTGACTCTGGGAACTTCGGTACTTTGACATATAAATGCTATTTGAAGGAGATCACAAAAAACACGTTCACGTAAGTAGCGTGGGATAGCCATTAAATAAAATGACTTTCTTTTGTTTGGTCATTGAATATTAGTAGAACTACCCGCCTCCAGTAGATATTCACTTCTTCGAACAAGTGCGAGCAGCAAACCACAGTTCAGGTCACCACTACTTATTGCCTAATTCAACATATATTACTAGGGGCATGTAACCCAAATCACTCGTTTCGGAGGCAATGTGGAAAGCCCACTACTTCAAATGGAGCGAAGCTGACTCAAATAATTCGGAATACTTGGTGATACCACCACAACTATGTTACGGAATATAAATGGAGATAATACGTTCAGTCGATACAATTTAGTCAGCTTCATCTTTGTGTGAAAAGGGGCTGTTAACGGAAAACATTGGTCGCCCATAAACTTGTTCCCCAACTCTGATCACAAGTATTAACCTATTTAGAAGTACACAAATAAAAGCATATCTCCATTATATTTTGTACATAAAAGCATGTTCACTGCCTCACCATATCCAAAAGAGGAACAAACAAACAAATGATCGACGGATTCAACTTTTTACTTCCAAATCCTCAAGTTCGTCCGCCAAACCATCCAATTCGGCATCGTTGAACAGTTCCTCATCAATGACCAAATCATCTAGAAAAATAAATAACCGATTGACAACCACTCGGGGCCAATGTAATTGTTTAATATCAGATTAAGAACTTCATGCTGACCCTTTTTTGGCACGGGCGCTGTAGAGAAGGGAGCGGGGTCGCCAGCTGGTTCAACATCACCGGTATCTGAAAAACATGACTATGCTCAAGCTAAACGGGATAGAAATACAAATTCCGGATTGGGTGGGGAGAGGGTGTTCAAAATAAAGGGCGGAACCGTGTTGAACCGTAGCCTAGGCTGCGCGATGGGGAATTACTGACGCAACCACCAAAGGCAAGGGCGACTCCCGAAGAAGGGGTTACAATAACTTGCGAAAAGTTACGAAACCCTTATAGATAGAAGACGTTCCAGCATCCCGTCTTAAGCGTTTCACGTTAAATTCCTTGGTTGCAGAATTAAAACTTGGACAAGTGACGCCTAGGCTGAGCAATCGAGTTTGTTGGAGCGATCAGTAAATTTGGCAAATGACAACCATGGAGACCGCTTGTAAAGTTAATTATATTAGATTGATCTTAATCAGTATTTGGGAGAAGGTAGATTAGAAAACTTGGTATAAGCTTATTTAACTTGAGTGAAAAATCATCCCTCAGTGTTACAATGTCATTTTTCGTGAGCTGTACGATAAGCTACCTTAAGTAAGTTCTGCAAAAAGGTTTTTCCTTAGCTACTTTCCTTTCCAGCAAAAAATTTGGAAATTGTGAATGCATCCATTAAATCCACAAAACATTGCAAAGTTCGTCTTACCAGGGCATTCGATGGCATCCACATCAAAAGCGTTTAAGTCCACATCGTGGACTTCGAATTCATCCTACGACGAAGAAGACAGAGAAATAGAACAAGCAACTCAAACGAAACAGTAGGAAAGACAGCAACTTGGCACCACGGATGGTACCCAATGAACTAGATGTTAGACGACGAATAGCGAGCAAGTTTAGTTAACTTTTTATTGATTTCAAATTATACCAATTATTCGTTTTGAGGTGACACTGTTCTAGAGAGCGTACAGCTATATTGACGCGGGACAATTGATTTAATTCTGAAAACTCACACAAAACCATGATGGAGCAGGGTGTTACGACAAGAAATAATGAGTGATTTTGAAATCAACACTAAAATAATAGAAGGCCGCCACGCATTTGGCAGTTAGCGATTGTCATGATCCAGCGATAATGGAATAGGCGGCATTTTTCAACCGAATTTCACCAAGCACAACGAAAAAAACCTTAGTTAGTAATAGTGAAGGTTGAGACGGTTACGTACTTCGTTTTCTTCAGGCTCACGTAGACGAGCATCACAGATGTCACCATCCAAATCTTCACCCTCATTTACAAGATCAGGATTGAACTCAAACATTTCTCTACCTGAAATCTGAGCAAATATAAAAGAACGTCATTAAAGTAAAATAGAGAAATAAGCAGCAACAAAATAATTCCACAAAAATTTTAAACACAACCATTCCTGATTTACTATTTAATAGGTGTTGAAAAATACCACCTACGCTATTATTTAAACTTGAAACATGGTTAAATACTTTTGGTCAGTGTCGTGATATGATAAACAAAACATAACCACAACGAGGCAGTAGTAAGGAGAAAACCAAGGCACGACAAACCTCGTGAGTAACACCCACAATGAATCATTATGGGGTTTTTAAGACTGTTTGGCCAATTGTGATATTAATCAGGAAAACTTACACCAAGAAGACGACCTTGAGCAAAATTAGCTTGTTTCTTCTCTTTTTCCTGCTTTCCAGCTGCGATTTTCTCTGCCCGCTAAGCAAAAAAGATAGGCAAATTATTCCAGGCAACTTTCTTATGACAGTTGCTTGGTTATGAAGACTTCAAATATTAAAATGAGCAAAAATTAAACCACTTAAATGATTTTTACCTTTCGTCGCTTCCATGCCAAGAAAGTTTGAAGTGTAACTTTTGTTTGGTTTAGTCCAAGGGCACGGCGCTATAAAAAAACACAATAGTTACAAGAAATCATACATAATCCAAGTACGGCATTTGTTGCTTACCTCTGTTTCAATAAGTTCATCAAGCGAGATGGTCTCCTTTTGTTCATCCATCTTCTTTTTATCCTTCCTAAGAACGAAACCGGGCGGAAGACAATGCCGGTAATGACAACTATCGCCATTTGGGCAATTCCAAAACCAACCGTATTTTCCGGCTTCAACTGCGTCGAGAAAATACTTACAAATCTAAGCAGATGTTGTAATATCAAAATATCCGCTTACAATAGTAGTAGGAGGCAGGCCTTTATTCGAGGCTCCGTGCTTTTTGGTGATGACTTCTTCAAGTTGTTCCTGATTCCATTCATCCATTTCACTACGCTCATCTTCATAGAGATTCTTTTTTTCGGTTTTCCTCTCAATATTCATGTCATGAGAAAATTTACACCTATCGCCTTTAGTGCAAGTACCCTGCTTAAAAAATATACAGAGCACAGACTTTGGATCAGCTCCTGTACTGAGAATTATTAAAGCATAATGTAACCACCTTTTGAGATTTTTTGAAGTTCAGCAACCGGTTTAAAAAGCAAGGTAAGTTCATCAGGTCCAGCCTTCTTTTCCGCCTTGCGAGCTTCCTTTTCTTGCTGCATCTTCTCAATCTAAACACGTCAAAATGAGATTAAAAGGTAATCAAACATCTCGGAAGGACTTGTTGCCATAGGTGACTTGTTTTTGTACTTGTTGAACATACTTCTGTTGTTTTGCACCTTTCTTATTCTTCAGACCAAACGTTTTGTCCTGGAGAGAAGTAAACACAGCAATTCCCATACCTCAATAATTTTTTTCTTTTCCTTTTCTAGAGACTTTTTTGAAGGCCCATCACTGCTCTTTTTCTTTGGAGGCATGAGATATAAGAGGCCTTATTAAGGCTGTAAGATAAAAACTCGCTGATGTAAATCATAATTTAGTCAAGCCATCAAGAGTGGATAAAAAAAGCTATTCGACAAAACCGAATAAAAAAGTACATTTTATTGAGAACGCAAAGGCGGTTCACAAAAGTTAAAAAATGATGAGGCAACGTCTCGTCGAATTTCTGAAGTTTTACAGGAACTCCAGGTTTAACGACTGGAAAATCACACACGGAATACATCGCGAGCTCATTCAACCCGCACCTTTCAATTAACAAGAAAAACAAAACACGCAAACGGAAAATTTACAGTGGAACTCATCAGTTATTTAACAAGTAAATACACACATTTTCGCCGTTAGTCAGTATTACGCTTTTAATGTGAACACAAAATTCATATTTCAGATAATGAAATATCGCCAACGTTCAAAAAATTAATCAAACGCGAGTACTGTGAATTAAGACGGATGTCATTATGAATTTTTTTAATTATTATGTCGCAAACATAAACATGCTGGTCAAGACCAAAGATTAGCCTATGATTTTCTCCTAAAAAGTTGGAGTAAATCGGCTGTCATGCACTCAGAGCTTAAATCGATATCTGATGCATTTGTCTTTTATGTGCAAATAAATGAATGCTTTCACGACTACTCCACTGTTATTTAAATTTTGGAAGTGTGTGCCAATCAAAATTCAATATTAATATCTCCTTATATAACCATGAAAAAGTCATGGACATCAAGAAAATTTAGCTTGTTTGTTGTAAGGCATTCAATGGGAAATGATCTTCCTTCTTTTGTTGAGGATAATGATATTTCCTGATTTTCATCATTGGTGGGATGAAATCTAATATTTCGAATATATGGATTGAAGACGCCTAGTATCTTGGTGAATGTACCTTTGACCAATAAAAACATGAAAAACCACAAATCTGACGCCTCTTAAATACATATATTTTAATGACGTTATTGGAGATCTGCCCGGAACACCTATCATAATAAATTAATGCTAAAGTAAAACGAGATCTGGAACAATTAACTGTAATCAAAAATTTTTCTTTTAAATATTTATTGTGAAAAAGTATCTAATAAGGTGTTATTTGCGAAACGACTAAATAAAACACAGAAAGAAAAAGATGGATTTTCGATGACATAAATACACTTCTTAGCCTTTGAATTATGATATCTTTAAACCCTGGCGATCCTAATTTCCCGGAAAGGCTATCAAAAAGAGTAAATTTTTGATGATTCGCACAACATGCGTTCGAATTTAAAAATGTGCTTGCCCAAAATATAGAAAATTTATAATTTTTTTTGGCTAGATGCATTGAATATCGTTATCTTACTTTTACCTCACCTACTTTGAAGTCATGTGAAAAAAGATACAGTTCACATTACTTTTCAAAGGCTCCTCCGAGAAAAGAGTTTCGAGTAGACCCTGAAATATATGTAAATTAACAAATCTAAATTTTATGAAGTGTTAACCAAAGATTTATAATTCTTCGCAGTAGTTTCGCAAAGAGGCACATTCTTCGTTAGAAATTATTCATCAATGTTAGGCTTCTAGCAGACCTTTAGCATATGTACCACAAGTGACATAACGTTGAAAAATCTCCTGGCTACTAAAGCGATGATATATAATGGGAAGTCTAAAGTACAAACCTGTTCTAAAGAAGGATCTAAATCCATGTGTAAACTTGTCTACAGATAGTTAAAGCTTGCTTGTAGCAAAATCGTAATTTATAATGCTCGTTTAGTGGGATTTTGCTTAGATTGCTTAGTCAAGACATGAAAGGTAGCAGGATCAAATCCAAACAGGAGGTTCAAGATTTCTTGTTTTTGCTATTTCGTATTCTTCGGCAAACTTTCTGCTTTGTAGGGAACAGCTAGTAATTATACTAAATGTGGTCCTCTGTAAACTTGCATTTTATGTCTCACGCCAATCGTCACAGTATCACCTGCCTTTAGCTCCACACAATCCCTTTCTTCGGAACAACATTGTGTACCGAATGGACTTTAACTGTTATGAACTTTATATTCGCCAATACCTTATTCTTCAATTAGAGTCAGTTTCTAACAAACTAAAACCGACAATTAGTTTAAAAGGGCCCTTTGTCGTTTTGAAGGATGGCAGGATCAACATTTATCTTGTAGTAAGAAATGAAAATATTCAACATAGAAATCCAGGACCTTTTAATTACAAGATGTCCCTAACCCAGATCATTATGAAGTGTTTGATTGCTTTAAATGCCTTCAATATTATTGAAACATTTATATTGCCATCTCCCTTCCAGATATTATTTTCCCCATTATTTTCATAAATAGTTATAGATTTGACAAAACTCCTTTTAAATTACATGAAGATATCTCATAGAAAGTCTAAATTTATTGCTTGGCACCGCATTAATTCACCTGACCATGACCTCCTCCACGGCATATCAAAGTGCACCATAACCGGGGTTGACTGTGCTAATAGCAGTAGAAATTGATATCTAGGCAAAATCATCATGAGGAAAATAATATATGGAGAACAAATGGCATATGTATAGACATAGAACAATCTAGCAGTCATTGCACAAAAATGCTATCAATAAATTAATGGCCAACATTCGTGCTTCAGACGCAATTCATGTTTCATCTGACTAAATCTCAATCAAGACAGCTAATATGGATTCTCAACTGTGGTATGAACATATTATCCCACATTTCCCTACACGTTTACCAAAACATTTCACATCCGTGCACCAATGCAGCACACTAGGCTCCCGCTACACTTTGCGAAACCTCACCAATTAGCTGAGACAAAACCCACCTCGACCAACACAGCACAAGTGTTTATGGGACTCACTGGAAGCAGTAATCCCAGCAAAATTCTCGGTTTGGAGATGGGTGGACATTTTGCCACCAAATCTCTGCTGATAATCAACTGTCCACAGCCACTAAACTAGAGGTGGCGACTTAGACATACTCGATGCAACATGAGCAGCCTCACTGGAACCTCGCAGCCACTAGTCCACCATTTCCAGCACGATTGCAAAGTGAGAACTCCGAAAGATGAAACAGTGGCTTTTGCACAAGTAACGGCAACAATTAAGCACTACTATTTAGGACTGTCAATCGACTCATTCAAACCCCTTGGGAAAATTCAACAAAACGATGACAAAATATTCGATATTATAGAAGACGTTTAAATAACAATAAATGAGCACAAACTATTGTGTTTGAATGGCAATTTGAGTGAGGCGCTAAGTACCATAGCGAGTGGTAAGAGGAGTGGGTGATTTTCGAGGGCAGTTAAAATGAAAGTGGGTCAAGAAAAGCCTGAGATTGTGTGCTGTAAAACGACGGGGAATGTGTTAATGACAAAAGGAAGAGGCAAAAGAAGGCAGAGGTTTTTTAATACATCAACTCCGGCGTGTTCTCTTATGTGCACAATAGGCGCAATTAGGAAACGAGGCATGCATTCAATGTGGAAAAAATACAATGCAAAATCAAACACGCGCGCGTGATAAAATCGAGTCACACCCCACACAAGCAGACCTGAGATGGCGGAGAAGGGCGAGCTCGTCAACACACTTCACCAAAGATACGTCGGTAATTCTATAATTTGGTTATTCAGAAGGTAGAAAAGGGGACGGAAGGAGAAGATGTGTACACAAATGGGCTAACATGAAAAAATATCAAGATGGCGCTACGAAGATGGCGTCGGAGTGTGAGGATTGTAGCGGGGCGCGTTTAACATATCTACAGACGAAATCAACGAGAAATGTGGAATGGGAAAGACTTAGTGAACCCAAACTGACGCATGCGTTGATTCGTCGAAGTGTTACGAGGCCCTCCCAAAAACAAGGGGAGATTGAAAAGTGGAAATAAAACTTCCTGAGGTGGGATGGAGCTTGCGCACAACATGAGATACATGGCAGAGGACCTGAGAGAGCACTGATTACCACACAGCCCACAGGTGGGTTCACAGGAGTGCTTCCACTGAAACAACAAAGAAACATACATCAATGCGCGTTCGACGTAATCATGAAATTATGCCACCTAAACTAAATGATCCTAAGTCTCGACGAGGACTACCGTTCTGGATTTCGTCAATGTTCATACAGGTGACATCTATTTTAAGAAGTGGTCCAACCGAAATCTTGTGGTTGATTTTCAATCATGCTAACAAAGCACATTCCTTATTAGTGGAAATTACTGCACTCTTGATTTTCTTTCATAATCCTGTACTAATGAACCCCAATGGAAGGTAATGAGGAAAGAAGACGACCACTAATGTGCTTAGCAAACGGGCACGACGATGTATGTCAGCTAATCGCCTGATTGGCCACACAAGGTCTGGTCAATAGCCCGGGCGGATACGTCGTGCGGGCTGAAATTCGGACCGACAGCGCCCCACTGCTGCAGCCACTGCCGCCGCCGCCGCTGGGTTGCCAAACTTGCCTGCAGACGGCTACGTGCCACAACAGACGCAATCATGCACATACACGCACGTACAATTTCAAAACTTACCCAAACCGTGGATTTTCAGGAAGACATAAAAATTACTCCTCATTTGAAACAACGAAAATTCGAAGACATCAACATGTTTACTGGCGACGAAGATATTGAGAGAATGAGAACATTTGTTTTTAATGAAAAATTACATTTTGTCTACCGACGAATCTTAATGCGTTTCCGAACGAATATTCAGGTGAGTTTTGACGAAAAACACTTGCCACGCAAATTGAATTCCACTGCAACCGTAACAGGGGAGCAGAAAGCCATTTTTTCCATTCCGACGTCTTGTGCCCGATGTTAAACACGAGGCTGCAACCATGCCGTCAATAAAGCTAAACACGGTGACTTCTGATATGCCGAGAATCTGACCAGACCCAATTTTGTAGATTGGTAATGCAGATTGAGAGACCCTAATTCCGTTGCCGGACCAAGTCGGCCATCTGGGTTTTTGCGAGGTCCCAATTATCACTTTCCTGGTCTAATTTCACTTACGTAT